CGAGATTCTTGTTAAGGGGTTGTAGCTAATAAACCTTGATGGATTGATTCTGCATGGTCTCCTGGAGTTCCTTGGGCTAGGCCCGACAGTACCACAATTTCAAGGAAGGCAACCCTCTGGGGTTTAGAAGCGCTTTGGATTTTTTTTTTTAATTAATACATTTGAAAATGTTGAGTTCCCTTTCTTAAAAACAACAAACAGGAATTTACATGTGTTTGTGAATAAAGGAAACAGTGCAGGTGGGGCACTTTGTTTCGCAGGCGGCCACCTTCCTGATTATCTTTTAATCAAAGAATCTTTTAAAACATTAACCCAGGTAGGAAAGAAAACCTCAGGTTTCATGTAACAGCACTGCATGACTTCAGTCTGGGTAGAGAGAGAAATGCCTTTTCTGCGTTGTGGAATCCCAGGTATTCCAGAGTAAAGCTGGGCTGATTCTGGAATGTGCTGGCTTTTTCAGCCCTGGTTCTCTGAGAAGACCAGTTCTTACACTCCGTACAGCAGGTCCCTGGGGGAGGGAGGCCCTGCCTTTACAGCGCAGCAGCCGCCCATGTAAAATGCCATTGATGACTATGGCGAGGACATCACATTGGATTAGAAGCGGCCTGCAACCGATGCAGGGTCTGTCACCCTGGGCTCAAATGTGCCCAAGCAGGTCAAACCAGATTAGAGGCGAGGGCCGAGACTTTTACTCCCAGGCTGGAGCGAGGGATTCCGTTCTCTGTTGCGCCTTGGAAGCTGCAAGTGAAGGGTGCTGGGCAGATGCTTAGGGCAGCCCTGTCTCCAGCTGAGCTGCAGAAGGGGGTCCCAGCAGACGGTCCCAAATGTCTAATCACTTCACTCTTCATGCCCAACAGTTTTCTCAGGCAAATGGGTCAAATCCTACATTGAAATGTATGCTGAGTCTGGCCGGAGTCGCTGGGAGTCGGGCAGTGTATAAATTTAAATTATTATTACATTTTAAAAAGATAAACGGAGGAAGAAATGTTGTTCGCGTCTACTGTCACTCTCTCAAGGAAGAAGACGTGGATGATGCCTTCCAAAAGCAAACTGCAGATCTTTCAAAGGGGCATGAAGTCACAGCAATCACCCTATGTCTGTTGGGAGACAAACTCTGCCAAGCACAGGGCTTCCAGGAAATTCCTAACTCACCTTGTTGACGACTTTCTCCTTCAGGAGGTAGAAGACAGCACAAGGGGTCAACTTGTTCTTGGCTGAGAAGAGGAAATACAAGTACATTGGGGAAAGTGGTTGTGTGACACTGGAATTGTTGATTTAAAGGGAAAGTAAAACTGAGCATAACAATTTGCATAATGGGCTTTAAAAATGGATTTCTGAGGGGTGGGATCCTATGGCGGGCTAAGCTAATAGGGAAAAGGAGCTTGGGATGGGCTCCAGAATTCTAGAATCATGACACTGGAAGGGACTTTTGACCATCTAGCCCAACTTCAGTGCAGGAATCTAGATTAAAGCATCCCTGACAGATGGTTGTCTCTAGGAAGGGACTGAAGAGGAGCCTACCACCTCTCAGCATCATTGGATCTGTTGCTGATCCTGTTAGGAAGTTTTCCTTAATATTCATCTGGAATTCTGCCCAAACAAGTAAACCATCCTCTAACTTTGAGAATGAAGTGAGCCCCAAGCAACCACTCCCCATCTGAGCCTAGGTTATCATGTGGTGTGAATCCACCCTACAATAGGGAATGTTTTCCTAATGTTTAGCCTAAATCTATTATTTTTGAATCCACTGATGCTACTCTTACCTCTGGAAGCAGCAGAAAAACAAACTGGTTTTATCTTTGTGGCAGCTCCTTGAAGATTTGGATATGACTGTCAGATCAATTCTTAATTGGTATTTGTCTAGACTAAACAGAAAATTCAACCTTTCCTTTCAGGATCTGGTCCCAACTTCCTTTGCATTTTCACTGCTGTCCCTGGAAAAAATTGGGTTTGAGGGGCAGTCAAGAAAAACAGTGATTAACCTTGGAGAGAACTTGTTTCATTTTCAAGTCATTTATTCCCAATGCTGCAAAACAAGAGTCAACAATTTATTTGGCCTTTGTGGGGGGCGATTATTTTTATCATTCCTAAATACATTAGTCTAGTCGGAGGTTCAATATAGCTATCTCATTTCCACTGCAAATTGGCAGGAAATCCCACTTGCTATAACCCTGCTGTCAATTGTCAGCACAGAAGCAGCTTAGAAGATTTTGGGGGCTGCAAATAAAATACTATCAAACAGGTAGCAGCTGAGTTGCCTTCCAGATTGTAAGAAAAGAAATTATTAAGCTCATCGCTTTTGGCTGCTTTGGAAGCTGGTGAAGTGTTTACAGGTGGGGTAGGCAACCTTTTTGACCTGGGTCACATTGAGGATTTTGACAGCTTATAGCAAGGACATTTCCAAAACAGCCACTGTGGGAGGCCCCTGTTCTGGGTGTGACCAGTCACTAAGCATGCTCTGCTGGCCAGAAGGTATATTACCCCAAGATGCAGTCTGTCCTCCTAGTGAGATTCTTGTGGGGTCCAAAGGCAGGGCTGCAGAGACATGATGGGAGAGTTCCTTTTTATTTCTTGTTTTAAAAAAAAAATCTGTTTCTAAGCAAGGAGTGGAGAAGTCTGTGGAGCACCAAATGAAGTATCAGGAGGCATAGTAGCCATGTCTGAGAGTTATGGGAGTTGTAGTGCAATGCCTCTGGAGATCACCAAATTATTTGATGTGTCAGCCACTGAATGTCAAGACTGAAGCAGGAAAGTATTTTTCCCCAGCAGATATGCCAGCCATGATTCTCAGGTTGCTTGGGAGAAGGCTTAGCAGTGAAACTGGTTTGAAAACCAGTTTACCCTGGCAAGCGTAGGGGGCTGGGGTGCTTCAGAAGTCAAGGCCTCCCCACATTCCTCTGCAGGGTTGTGGTGCATACCCCTCCCCAGCCTGGAATGAAGAGATTGCAAGCTCTTGACAAAAGAGATTGCAGTGAACGGCTTCTACCTGTGTTGATCAATTCCCCAGACAAGGGAGGGAAACTCTCTCAATTCGTCCATCAGATAGAGATTCTAGCTTTCTTCCAAATGCTCATTCAAACACTAAATCAAAATCTTGAGCATGGAATGAATCAGAACATAGAATAGACTTTGGGAGGAGATCACAGTACTATACATATTCCCTACTGTGTGCCTGCTTGTAATCCCTTCCTCTCCAATGAATGTATACAAACATTAATTCCCTTCTTGCTAATTATCCCAGCACTTTCCAAAGGGTGGGGGAGTGGGGAAAAGGAAAGCACAGTTGTGGTCACATGATTTCCCACTTAGTGACTGAGTTGCTGGTCCCCATTGTGGTCACTAAATGAGGACTACCTGTATTCAGAGACAGCTTGGTTGAGGGATTACCAAATACAATTATTGTATTTACTGGCGCACAAAGATGAGGGGTAGCAAACACCTTAGAACCAGCAAGATGAATTTCAACAGGGACAAATGCAAAGACTTACATTTCGGTAGGAAGAATCAAAGGCATAAAGAGAGGACAGGAGAGACCATATTAGGTGGCAGTAGATACAAAAAAGATCTGGGTCTCTTGGTGGATCACGAGCTGAACATGAACCAGTAGGGTGATATAAAAAAGACAAATGGAATTGTGCTGCCTCAATAAAAGTGGACTGTCATGATCAAGAGACTTGATCAAGGATCTTACCATTATTTATTATATATATTAAATATTGTAAGCTGGCCAGATTCTTTTTGGAGCTGGACAGCCTCAAAATCCAATCAATCAGATTTCTATCCTCCCTTTTTGTACATTTTTCCCCACAACAGTGACCCTGTGAGGAAGCTGGGCTGAGAGGGAGGGGCTGGCCCAAAGTCTCCCAGGAAGCTTCTGTGGCTGAGGGGGGACTAGAACCTGTGTCTCCCTGCTCCTTTGCGCTTAGTTAAAGCAAAACTTCAATCATCATCTGTTTTAGAAATATATTTGACTCTTAAAATCAGCAAGCTAAAAATAAAATATTGACTGGCTGCTTAAATTTTGAATGACAAGAAATAATGAACATTTGAACTTTGAGCAGGAAGTGCTTAGCATCTGGGACTTTTGTTCTCTCAATCAAAAGTTGCCCCAAATCCATCTAATTCAGCACACCATCTCTGCCCAAGCAACCACTGTAAGTTTTCCTCGCTTGGTGAACCCCAAATGGTTGGTTGACTCTTGAGGCCCTGACCTGGAGTTTGTGACCTTCTCAAAATCTGACTCATTTAGTCAAGATGAACCATGTTCTCACTTTCCTTCATTACGTGTGTGCACACATGCGTGCAGCTTCGAGTCAGTGTTGACTCCTGGATAAGTCCCTGTAGTTTTTTTGGCAAGATTTCAGAAGTTATTGCCATTGCCTCCTTCCTAGGCCTGAGAGTGTGTGTGACTGGCCCAAGGCCGCCCAGCTGGCTTTGTACCTAAGGCAGGACTCATGTCTCCCAGTTTCTAGTCTGATGCCTTAACCATTACACCAAACTAGCTCTCTTTCCTTCCTTGTACTCCTTTAAAACTGAACTTGCTCACTTAACTGTAATTATAGATTATGGTTGTATTATCAGAGAGTTAGACTGGATTATCTTCAAGATCCCACCTGACAATCTGTGTTTCCATGGTTTAGTGAATTGTGTCAGCCCTGAAAATACAATACCCAGGTTACATATGTGATGCAAAGGCAGCACTCTGCTGTAAGTAGGTTCATTGTAAAAAAGTAAAAAAAGTATAAAATTCCACCAAAATCACAGATTGTGATGGATTGTACTTAGACCCCTCCCCTCAGCCTCTTCTATCCCATACTTGCTAGGAAGTATGTCAGCATTTTGCATGCTTCCATGAACACCTTTTCTTAAAACCCTCCAGAAATTTATAAACTGCAGTTTCTGTTCCAGGTCTTTTGCCCTTAGTAGAATCATCCACATTGAGGGAAGGCCAAAGTGGACAGGGCCCCCAGGTCTTTGGTGAAATGATGGCCCTGTGCCATGCATGTGAAAAGGCCTCTCGGGGGTAGTGGGTGCTGTGGTGGGAGCCTGACTGTCACATTAAGCCATAGAGCTGAAGAGCTGGGCCACTGCGTGTTCTGTGAGTAGAGCCAAGGTGTTTCATTACTTGCAGTTTAGTATGTGATGCAAAGCCAAGTTTAGCAAGAAAACGACATTGCTGTTTCTTTCCTACCTCTTGGGATGCAGAGATTCACATCCCATATTATCCATCATCTCATTCACTAAGGATGGTGGCCTGTGGGAATGAAAAATAAAAAATGTGCTTAATTCTGTTGGAATTAAATGGCATGTGAATCAGATAAAAATAGCGATTAAGGACCATGTTGTGCAAGATGATTTTCCTGAGCATGAAGCATGAATGTGGTTTCCACTTAATCTATGCTTTAACCAGGAATAAACTGCTGCAGTTTTTTGGCTAGATTTACACAATGTGCACTATGCCATAATTCTTAGTTTGCAATCCACAGTAGCTGGTTTCATACACCATGATAAGCTAGATCACAATGTGTTCATCAACCAGTGATGGGAGAATCTTTATTGCATCAATATATTCATATTGGCCCCTGTTTACACCATGCTTCAAGGGGTTAACCTTGATAAATTTATTATTTGGTGGGTGGATTACTGTGCTGGGTAAACACAGCCTATTTGGTTAGTCTGTGATTCAATATATTATGCACCCCCACCTCCAGCTATTAAAAAGAGCTTCGCTGCTGAGTCAAGCTGTCCCAGCCCCCAGCTTCCAACAGTGACTGGCCAACCGCTTCCAAGCAGGACAGGAAGGTTCTGGTGCCTGCCTGGATTTCTATGTTTAGTTCTTAGGGCCAATAACTGACAACCAATTCTGATGAATTGGTTCATCCATTACACCCATTGTGTTCCTGCAACACTGAGTTGGCGCTTTATCAGGAAAAAAGGGAAACATATTTTTGAAGAAACAAAGTTGGGCACCAGTCTTGTGTTCTCCTGTCATATTTATTTTGCAATTCACCATTTAATCTCTGAATAGGCATTTGTATGTTTTGGGTCCACTGCTGTGGTTTTTCAGAAACAAGATCCCCCTTTTAGCCACTCACTGATTTCTTCTTCCCAGGCAGAAAAGGGAGAGGCTGTGCCCAGGCTCTGTGGGAAACCTGATAAAAGTCTGTGTCCCCATCCAGATGGTATCCTAGTTCTACAGTAATAGTTGTTTCTCCCAGCAAGAACAACTAGTAACAAAGACTGAGAAAAGGTCTAAGCAAACAAGGAAAGTCCCTGGAAGCCAATGCCTGCAATACAATTCTCATTCATTTGCAGAAAACAGAAATGTCTCTGGCTGCAGCCCAATCCTTTGTTTCGGGGGGGCATCTAGAGCATCCTGGGGGCACGAGGGGGTGATGGAGAGCAGCCTCATCAACCTCTCTTCTGGCAAACAGGTGTGGCCAGGCACACCCACCGTGGCAGCCATTTGATGAAGACACCCATGTTTCCTGAATCATTCTAGAAGGCTTGCGGAGGAGAACATGGTACCCGACTGTTTTCTAGGCTGAGCCTGCCTGGGTGAAGCTCCCCTGGAGGGAAGATGCTGGCCTGTTCCTGGCTGACAGGAGGGAGGGAGGGAGGGAGCATGAGCATGTAGCAGTCAAAGGATGCTGCTGGATGGCGAAAGGGTGACTTCCAAATAAACTCTGGATGCCACCTTGTCAAGGACGCTTATAGTGAAAGCAGATATACAGAGACCCTCAGAACTGGGCAGGTTTGGGAGGCTTCCGGTGAGAAGAGATGGCGACAGGACGGCTGTAACTGCAGCTCGGAGAAAAGGAAAACTGCAGCGCGGATAGCCAGTGATCCTGCGGAGTCGAAAAGACGGGCGGACCACGGAGGCAACGCTGACAGAGAGCGCTGCCGGCAAAGAAATCTCAGCGGCTCCCGAGGGCAGGCGAGACCATCGCTTTCACTTTCATGAAAGAGTTCAGCCAGGGAGCTAGGAGGTAAAATCGGCGGAGACGGTGTTTGTAGCCCAGGTGTTTGGGCTTGAGTCGCCGGCCTTCTCATTTCTATTGAAAAGCCGCTTCTAAATAACTACAGAGGAAAAGAAAGGAAATAGATTTCCTAAACAGAAGAATGAATTGTACACTTCTAAGGGGGAACCACTGTTTCAAGACCAAGCCGGAAAAGGATTTATTTAATTAATTATCGCATATTGCCATATCGTTTAGAAAACTTATTAGAGTATGTTAAGCTATTAGGCTGTGTATAGACTATAGATAAGAATAGATATAGAAATATTCTTTGCTGAAATTATATATATTGTATAAATATAGAAATATAGTAAAATAGAAAAATAGAAAAAATGAACACGAGGAACCAGAATAGGAGGGGGTCGGAAATGGGAGGAGAAAGAGAGTGGCTGAGAGCCACGTTTGAAGATTTCACAAAAAAAACAACTCAAAGTATTACACAGAACTTAACCCAGCTATTAGAAATTAAAATAGACGGGTTGGAAAAAAGATTAGAACAGAGGCTGGAAAGGATGGAAAGAGGAAT